CTAAGCCTCTGCACACTGTCCAGGAACTGTCCCCTCCTGAGAACAGGCCTCAAGTATGCGAGATGCAGACTCGGCGTCCTTGCTCTAACGTAACCACTGGATGTATTCTTGTAAACACAGAAATCTCCTTCTGAGGGACAAAAGCATCGTTCACTTGAGGATGTGTCCAGCCCAGCTTGGACCTTGCCTGGCTCTCCGGTAAGAAGCCCTGGTTGAGGCCTCTTCAGGAAACCCCGGGTAATCACTACACCGTGGTTTGCCCCCTCCTTCCATCAGGATCTCATTTCCCCGTGTCTATAGCTGCTCTCTGGACGTGGCTTTGTTGTGAGGTGCCAACTGCGACTCCCAGCCACCTGTGGAGCGCGGGTGGGCATGTTTGTGGACCTGCGCTGGGCACATCCTCTGTGTCACCAGCACTGGCACCGAGCCGGGCAGGATCTGCCACACTCAACATGGAGGACAGGCCCAACAAAGAGCCGCCTGGCCTCGCCCTCCTGTCTGCCTTCTGATTGGAAGCTGCAATCCACTGTCTTTGTTGTCCAGGCCGCCATTGGCCAGCGGGGCCATCCGTCATGGGGCCACCCACCCTGCTCTCCAACAAGTAAACAAGTATTGCTCAAGAGGTGGACTGGCCTGGGCTGTGTGAGGAAGGCCTGCTGCGCCCCGGGGGCGTTGAGGGGCCCTGTCCCCACTCACGGGGAGGCTGGCTCAGGGACGCAGCTGCGGAGCACAGTGGAGCGGCCCGTGACCATGGACTCTCCTCGTAGGGAGAGCCCAGAGCTTAGAGCTTGAAGGAGCATGAGAGACAGGCTGCACTGGGGACGGTGGCTGTGGGCATGGGTCCCTCCTTGGACGTGAAACATGGGCCGATTTTTCCTCAGCCTTTGAATATTTCCTGCTCTGCTGTCCAGGTGGTTCTGACTCACAGAGACCCTGTAATGCCCTCTGAGGGTCACCCAGGCGCCCTCTTCATCTTCCCAGAGTGGCTGGTGGCTTAGAACTGCCAACCTTTTAATTAGCTGCTGTGTGCTTTAAGCACTGCACCACTTCTGCCAGGTGGGCAGGGGACCAGGTGGGCCAGGTGCTGTCTTCTCTCGTCTAGATTCCAAGAGCTTTGGCTCAAGTGTTTCTTAAACCCGAGAAATACGACCCGAGATCGCTTGTGAGGTTATTGAGGGGAAATGAGATAAGGCCCACCTGGTTGGCGGTCGCATAATGCCTCTCAGTTCGGCTTTTCTCGGCCCTGGTTGTCCACCTTCATGTGGTGTCAAAACTGACACGTCTTCCATCACACAGGGTAGACCAGACGTGGGGAGAAAAGCAGCAAACTTCAGGACGTGGAGAGGGCTCCTTCACACGGCGAAGAGAGGCCCCTGAGGCACCAGAGCCCATGGCCTCTGAGAGGGTAGAGCCGCGAACGGCAGAGAAGAGCTGCTGCTTCAGAGAGGGATTCCTGGCCTAACCAGTGACGGGGCTCCAGCCATGGCCGCCCCAGCCCCAGTGAACGTGGCTGCTGGGTCAGTATCCCTTGAGGTGGTGCTGGTGTGGAACTGCGACTAGGAATAAATGAAGTCCAGGAACATGGGGCGTCCAGCAGCTGCAGTTCTCATCTCTCAGGGTCTCTGGTTGTTTCAGGCCCACTGCAGACCATGGATGGCTGAGCAGTAGAGAGGCTCCCCTGACCAGGAAAGGGGTCACACTTGGTGCAGGCATTTCCAGGGAATGAGGGGCGGTGGCAGGAAAGCTGCTCCTAGGGCCACAGCAATTGTTTAAAGAAGAAAAGCTACAGCTGTGATTGATGACTCAACAGGCAACCAGAAGGACACCACCACCACCCCACCACCTTCGGGGCCTGGGGGCTCCCTGACGTGTTCTGAGGACAACCTTTTCCCGCCTGTCCTAAGTTTGTAGGACATCCCACAGCTGACCCTCCCGTGGAGCAAGGAAAGATGCCCCTTTCCCCTGGTGGACTAGAACCTCCTTTGTTCAGGCTGGCAGCCCTGCTCCTTCCACTAGCGCTGCTCGCCTTCCCTCCTTCGCCTGTGACTGTCCCCTCAGGGCCTTCCCTGTGGACAGGTCTGGGGAGGCCAGGTGCCTTTGCCATGCTTGCCTCTGCTTTCCTGCTCCAGTCCCCGTCACCAGGCTGGCCTTTGGGTGCGGTGGTGGAGCCTCCTTCGCCTCCTTCACTGACCCACTCCCTTTTTCAGGGGTTGTTTGTGTGGGAAGCCAAATACCAAATTGAATATTAATATTTAACCTAATGCTGCATCAGGAAATGAAGGGGGCCTAGATACAAACTAGAATTCCCCCTGTAGCACCACGGCCGAGCTTGGGCTTCACAGGGGTTGAGGCCAATGCTTTCTGACCTATCCTCCATTCCTATGTGTCCCTGGCTCTGTCTTTTCCCTCGCTTGACAACACATTTGAGTGACAAGACCCAACACCCTCTCAGTATCAGTCGTTTCTGGATTTTGGCTGAGATTCACAGCCGCTCCTTCTATCCTGTAGGCCCTTTAAGCCCTGAGCAGAGAGGTGAGTGGACCTCAGTTGCTAGTTACTACAATTATCCCTCCACGGCGCTCCACTTCTGTGACTCGACTCACAGCACTTTCTAATAAGAAATGCAGTCCACCTTCAGGGCAGGTGTTTTAAGACTATACCATTACAATTTTTATTTTATTAACCAATAAATATTTACCTGTCTAAACCAGAATATTCTGGCCAAGAAGAGCCCAGGATGCAAGTCTGGTTTCTATGAAAATTCATTTGATATGTCAAATGCAATAATGGTTATCCATGATGGACAGTGTTTGGTGGAGCTTCCCGATTAAAACAAGCTTGGAAGCAGGAGTGGCATCCACTTCCATAATAGCTTGCCTTTCTCCAGAAACCCTATGAACCTGGAGAGAGGATAAAAGGCACCCAAGCGTGGAGGACTCTCCTTCATAGGGTCGCTATGAGTTGCCTGCGACTGAACGGCTCTTAAAAATAACAACATCACATTTTTGGGTCATAAAATGCGTGCCATGGCATGTTTTCTTATGTGTATTTTAAAAATGCAATATTGGCTTGAACAGTCTTCTCTGATATCAAAGTCCCTCTCCTTGCCCTTACCTTACCAAAAAAGGTGGGAAAACCAATCCACAGAGAACAAAAAAAGTCCAAAAAAAAAAGGTTCGGTGAAATTTCTGCTCACCACCTACGTTCTCCTCTCTAGAAATATTTATTATTTTATCACTCCTTTTTATCATATTACAATATCCCTTTCAGAGACATTCACACGCAGTAGCTAAAATACTGTTATTGTGGAATGAGTTGAAACAAACCAAACACGTTGAAAGTATTTAGTATATTTATTACACGTTGCCGGTTATAATGGTTGATCTTCCCAAGTACAGCTTTTTGCTGCTATTATGTTTTGCTATAAAAAAAAGGAAGACAGCTTTAAAGGGAAACCGAGTAAAGGTGAAAGTCCCGGCTGAAAGATGACGATGCCCATCTTCCCTTGCTGGAGGCGGCATGAGGTGCAGCCAGGCCACCAGCGGACCTGGCCTGTCTGCTCCAGGTGCCCTTTGGCGGGTAAGGAGGGCAGAAGCCCCCACGGCGGGTGCAGGACGGGGAGCAGCCCCGAGGGCGGGCATGTCCGTCAGAGGCAGGTTCTGAGAGGGGAGGGTGGCTGGCGGAGTGGGGGAAGGGCGGCGATGCAGCGGAGGCGCCGGCATCTCCGATGCAAATGAGGTCTTAAACCTGAGCCAATCGCCTCTGGCTCGGTTCCGTCCCGCAGCCTATTGTTGAACGTCGTCAGTGTCTACAAAGGCCACTTGGCGGCCACGCCTGCCAAGGAGCCTCGTTAGCGCAGTAGGTAGCGCGTCAGTCTCATAATCTGAAGGTCGTGAGTTCGATCCTCACACGGGGCAGCCATGTCTTTTGTTTCTTGCTCCGTGTGGCAGGTCTCCTGGTTCCCTCTCCTGAAGCAGGCAGGTCTTGGGTATGGGGCTGTGACCTGGGGTGTACGCGCAGTCCTGGGAAGGGGTCGTGGACTTCCCACGGCGGGAGCAGATCCTTTAGGATCCTGACTCCTGAGGAAGGCGGGCTTGGCCCTTTAGGGAGCAGTTCGGTTGTTCAGGGAAGGGGCGTGTCTGAGCTCCGGGGACCTGGCGAATCTCCGGAGGTGAAGCGAGGCCCGTTATGAGGGGTCTTAACTCCAAAGTCGTGTCCAGGATCTTTTTTTGGGCCTCCTGGAGGCAGGTCTTGACCATCGGGGGCGGGGCTAGGCCTCCTGGAGGTGGAGCCAAGCCTCTGGGCGGGGCTTGACCCGCGTGAACAATGAATGGGCGGGGCCAGAGACCCTGGCAGTGGCTAAGGGGGCGGGGCTCGACTCTCCAGGGGCGGGCCTAGGATCCAGGGGCGGGGCTCAGGAGTTAGGGGTTCTCCTCAGAGTGAGGCTTGGCTCTCAGGGAGTTGGGGTTTGACTCCCTCAGGCTCTCAGGGAGGGCAGGGCTAGATTGATGTGGGTGGCCCTTTGTTCCTGAGCAGGACTCAGCTCACTGGACATGGGGCTATACCCACGGAGGGCGGGTCTTTATTCCAGGGGCGGGACTAAGCCCCCTGGAGGCGGGACTAGACCCAAAGAGGCGGGCTTTTATTTCAGGGGCGGAACTAAACTACTTGTAGGCGGGGCTAGACTTGCGGGGGACGGACCTTTATTCCAGGTGGACTAAGCCCTTTGGAGGCGAGGCTATACGCACGGAGGGCGGGCCTAAACCCCTAGATGAGGGGCTATACCCCCAGAGGGGAGGACGTTTATTCTAGGGGCGGGACCAAGCCCATGGAGGCGGGACTAATCCCACGGGGGCGGGCCTTTATTCCAGGGGCGGGGCGAAGCGCCCCGGAGCCGCTGCTGGGCTCGGGGCGGGGCCGGCGTGCGTGCTCACGCCTCCTGGGCGTGCCCGGCGGCGTCGGCGCGTGCGCAGAGCGGCAGCGTCGCGTCGGTGGCAGGCATGGCTGTCTGCGCTCGCCTGTGCGGAGTGGGCCCGGCCCGGGGTTGCCGGCGTCGCCAGCAGCGCCGGGGCCCAGCCGAGGCGGCGGCGGCCGACAGTGAGCCGGACACGGACCCCGAGGAGGAGCGCATCGAGGCGGGCACGGCGCTGGCCGGGGGTGGGCCGGGTCCCGCGGCGCCGCGCTGCTCGCTGCTGGAGCTGCCGCCCGAGCTGCTGGTGGAGATCTTCGCCTCGCTGCCCGGCACCGACCTGCCCAGCCTGGCTCAGGTGTGCACCAAGTTCCGGCGCATCCTGCACACCGACACCATCTGGAGACGACGCTGCCGCGAGGGTGAGTGCGCGCGGCGGCCTAGGAGCAGCCCCGTGGGGGAGGGCGACCGGGGCCGCGGTGCAGGGATGCATGCGTGCATGCGGGGGGCCACCTGCCTGCAAAGGGCCCTGGCGGGGGTCAGGGGGACGCCGTGCAGGGGTGCATGCGGGGGCCCTGGAGGGGGGCAGAGGACGCGGTGCTTGCCTGCATGCGAGGGGCCACAGCCTGCACAGGGCCCTGGGGGGAACAGGCGCCTGGGAAGGGAACCCTGCACAGATCAGGGCCCAGGGACTTGACTTGGAAGGGTGTAAGAGAAGGTGACAAGGGACCTGGACAGGGACCTACCAAAGGTGTGGGATATGGGGTTCCCCGCCTGTCCAGAGGCTCATGTGGGAGGGGAGTGGGAGAGAGTGACTCAAGACCCAGGCTGTGTAAAAGTGCACAGGATGGACCCCGAGGGGAAGAGACTTTGCGCAGAGGGGTAGTTGGGGGTGATGAGGGTCCTGGGAGAGTTCTGTCCACGCATGGGGTGTAGGTGAGCCCCAACAGCTCCTCCGGTGGTCAGTGGCCTGGGAGGAAGTGCGTGAAGGAAGGTGACCTCAAGCCACTGTCCTCTTGAGCTGGCTGCAGACCACACCCAGCAAACCTGTCAGAGAGGTGTGAACCCAAGAAAGATGTGGCCTGTGGAATGTATGTGCCAGGTTATATAAGAAATGCATTTTTACTAAAAAATGCACATAGTTATTACAGCAAGTACTTTTTTTTTAAAAAAAAACCAACCAAAACAACCCGGTGTCAGTGTGTTAGTATAAGCACAAGCTCTACCTTGCTGTTCCTGGTCCACCTTGCTAATGCACTCTGGGCAGAGTTGTCATTGTCGCCCAATTGCAGCGATGCCCTGACTCACGTGGTCTCGTTTTCATGGGCTGTTTGTTTTCATTGCTGCCGGGGGTTTCCTCTACTTCTCAGGTGATTTGCTGCGATATTGTGGCTCTTAGTGTTTGTAAGCTAAACTAGTAAGCCTTTTTTTAAAATGGGGTAGTAATGAAAGGAAAAGAAGGAGAAAAAGAAACAAGTTTCTATTCTGTTACTAGTAATGTTGAAACTCTATGTAGAAAAGTTACTATTCTTCTGATCCTGGGAGTGTTATATTTAAGCATCTTGCAACACTCTATTACATTAGCCTGTGATTAGAATGAATGAGAAACAGTCACTAAGGATTCTGTGTGATCTGACTGGATAGAGGAAGTTTGTGAGTCGGTGGACCAGCCAAGGGGGAGGTCCCAGATGGGGACTGGAGCCTGCCATGCCCACATTGAGAGCTCAAAGGGGACTGAGAGGTGACCTCAGCTGCACAGGACTCTGCATAGTTGAGGGGGTGACAGCGGCTCAAAGTTGAGGTTTGCTGCTATTTGGAGTCTTGGAGGGGAATATAGTGGTATATGCGCCCCCTCACCTGTTCCGAACCCTGGAGGATGGAAGTGGGGTAAATGTGAGTACAGGTAGAGGAGCACGGTCTCTGATGGTGGATGGACCCCGTATGTGGAGACATGAGGGGCAAGGGACAGTGCTGAAAGAGGAAATGCCATCTCCTCGTGCGTTCCCAGGTGTCTTGGAGGTGACGCGATGATAAAGCATTTGGACCCTGTTGTCTAGATGTCAGAATCTGCACTTCTTCCAAACCCTCCTATGCTGGGCCTACCTGGCAGCTCCTTCCTTGATCCAGAGCCACCCCAGCCCCGCTGTGTGGTCAGCCTGCCTGGGCCCCATAGCAACCCTCCAGGACAGGGTAAAACTGTCCTATCAGGAGCTCGGGTGGCCTCATGGACAGGGAGTGGTACCTCCCACTCAGGCAGATGCTCTGTGGGAGAAAGATGGCCAGTGCCTTCTGGGTGGGCACCAGACGCTCAGTGGTGAGCAGGCTCGGACCCCAGGGCTGTAAGTGAAACGGGACAGAAATGGGCTGCTGCGTGACGGTGCCTTTGGACCACTGCCTTCTCAGTGAGCAGCCTCGGGTGGACCCCGTGTGGTCCTGAGACCCTGGACAAGCCCCTTTATGCGTGCTGACTTGTAGGTCCTTGGAGGTGGTGAAGGGACATGTGTGATGTCCAGGGGAAGGTTTGCCTGGGCTTCTTTGGGGCTTCTTCTTTACTGTTGAGGAAATGGCTGGTCCAGGGTAGTTGGGGATTTGGTTGGTTTATCCTTCCCCCACTGCCTGTCTCTGCATCTGGGTCATTTGAAAGTGGTTTAAATTCCCTTCTCAACCAGACACAGCCTTTTCCCATGAAGTCCGATGTGTAAGACAAAAATGGGAACTTGAAAACCCTTGTGTGTCTGTCTCTCTGTCTCTGTGTGTGTGTCTATGTTTCAGTCTTTGTGTCTGTCTGTGTATGCAGGGGTTTGTCTGTGTGTCTGTCTCTCTGTGTCTCAGACTGTGTGTGTGTCTCTCTGTGTGCAGGGGTGTGTCTGTGTGTGTGTCTCTCTGTGTCTCAGTCTGTGTGTCTGTCTGCAGAAATGGGCTCCCCAAGTGGCTTTGCAGCACGGGACGTGGCTGTCATGGTCAGGCTTGGGGACGGTCACTTCCCCCAAAGAGGCAGGTGGCACCTTGCTGGCATTCACACTTGTGGGTGGGAGTGGGTGGGCTGCGGACAGTCCTGTGGTCACTCTGTCCAGGTTCCAGGAACTGGAGGGTCTGACACAGGAGGAGGTGGGCAGCTGCCACCTGGGCACACGGTGGGGAGACATCTCACACAACAGCCTGAGAGAGCAAGCAAACACTGACCCCAGGCCCTGGGATTGGAGCCCGGGAGGGAGGACAGTGAGCACTGCCTCCTTTGTCCCTCTGATCATCAGTCTGTCTATCCTCCCCTCCCTCCATCTTCCCCTAACTAAGCAAACTAAGGTGTCAGGCCATGGGGCCCACAGGCCCATCCCTGATGACCAGCCGTATTGACTTGGCCACACCCTGGTGACCGTCCACTCAGCTTTGGTCCAGGGCTGTGGGCCTGAGTGCTGTAGGTGTCCCAGGCCAGGCCTGAGCATCTGGGCCTGCCCTTCTGACCTGACTGGCCATGTGGGCATGAGGGGGCCCTTGAGACTCTTAGAGACAGACCCCCTCCCTCCATCTTCCCCTAACTAAGCAAACTAAGGTGTCAGGCCATGGGGCCCACAGGCCCATCCCTGATGACCAGCCGTATTGACTTGGCCACACCCTGGTGACCGTCCACTCAGCTTTGGTCCAGGGCTGTGGGCCTGAGTGCTGTAGGTGTCCCAGGCCAGGCCTGAGCATCTGGGCCTGCCCTTCTGACCTGACTGGCCATGTGGGCATGAGGGGGCCCTTGAGACTCTTAGAGACAGACCCCCTCCCTCCTGTTTGGCATCTGGAATGTTCTGAACGTTTGACGGGGACACTGAAGGACCCCGTCAGGCTCTGGTTCTGGCATTCGGTCCCTGGAGCAGCCCTGCACTTCCCCCTTGCTGCTCTTGGAAGTCAGGAGGTGAAACCTGCCTCCTCGTAGAGTCCATGCGCCCTGGCGACCCTCCTATCTCTGAGGCTGTAAATCCTGGGTCAGGGAACACACCTCTTCCTCCTTGCAGAGTTGGGGGGGTCCAGGCCTCTGCAGACGTGCAGCCTTCTGGTCAGCATCCAGCACGCTCTGGGCTGTCCAGCAGAGCCACAGGCTGCTCCCTGGGAGAGGGGAGGGGGGCGCTGAGCAGGGCATGAGTTTGGTGCAGACCACATACCGACACCCTTTGCCCCACAGCCCCTGGACACTCGCGTCCACCAGTTAGGCTCTGACTTGGTAGCACAGACGTTTAGTGCTTGGCTGCTAATCGAAAGCTGGCTGGTTCAAACTCACCAGCTGCTCCAGGGAGAAGCGGCATAGGGGTGTTCTTCTGTAAAGATTGCTACTTAGAAACCAAGGCCGGCTCTGTCCCGCCTCCTTGGTCACTGTGGCCAGGCTGGACTCCAGGACCCTGGGTTTTAATGACACCTCCAGAGCAGTGGAGAAGCCCAGTGGCGTCCTCCAGGCCATATGTGGCCCTCCTGTGGCCACTGTTTCGGGGCTGCCCCATCCTGTCACCCAGGGGCCTTGCCTCGCAGTGCCCCTGTTTCTCTGCCTCTGTGAACACTGAGTCCCTGACCCTCGCTGACCCTGCTCTGTGTTCAGGCGGTCTGTGGTGGCATCTCAGCCCCCAGTGCTGGACACCTGTGGTGCGGTGGGTCTCTTGTTCAAGAAGGCGTCCTAGGCCATTGGCCTTGACTTTGTCTCCTGCTAGGTAGGGACATGTAAATGTGTTAGTGTGCCCACTGGTTGTGGGCTGCTTTCGTCACCCCACCAGGCTCCATTCGACAGGCTCAGCAGCACACGTTTCGAAGTCCCTTCTGCAGCAGAGAATGCAGTGTGCACCCTTCAGGAGGGCAGCAGCCTCCACAGCAAAGAGCCCGAGGCCGGGCGTGAGACAGCGCTGGCCTGGGACTCCTGCCCACACAGCCAGCACCCCCTTTGCCCCATCAGGTGGAGTCAACGGGAGAAGCCTTAACTGGCAGGGCTAAGAGAGCTTTATGACCCAGCCTAAAGCCCTGAGGCGGAGGGGCCGCAGTGCATGGCAGGAACTGACCGCCTGCTGCCGGCCTGAGGGGCAGCTTGGCGATTCCTAGGCGGCCCTAGCCTGGGGTCTCGGTGCTGTCTCTGTAGCTATTCCAGTGGATTTCAGACCACACCAGCCCCAGGCCTCGGACCTCAGGGACTTCCTGGGACCTCCTGACAACAGGGATGCCACTGGATGTCAGGGACTTCTCCTGCTCACAGGTGTCTTCCCTTTCATCGTTGGTGCAGTTTGGCCAGTCACATTACCCAGGACTGGGTGCCCCCAGACCACAAGCAATGCTGGGCATTGGGGAGGACATGAGGCTGTGCAAACTGGGGGCCAGTGATTGAGAGGAGCACCCTCACTGAGGCAGGCTGGTTCCCTGCTGCTGAGGCCAGCATGGGCACAGCGCAGGTTGTGAGGAGGGCACAAGACTGGGCAGGGCTTTGTCTCATTGTTCACAGGGTCACGTGGAGTGGACACAGCACACTGCGCTGTGGTCCCTGTTTAGTAAGTGGCTGTGCCGGCCTGGCTGGGCGCCATCTTTCGGCCACCTGGGCTGCAGTAGGCTCACAGGGCAGGGACATTTGTTAGGTCCTGGGAGGAGCCTGGGCCGCTGGCCGTACACTCGGCCTAGGAGCCGTTTTAGGGCGGTTTCCAGGGATGGCTTATGGCATCCAGCTCAGCAGTCCCTTGTTGTGGACTTCAGCTGACGCCTGTGCACCAGGCCTGGTCAGCAGTGGTAACAGACCACACTAGGGTGACATGCTGGCAGCAAGGAGTGGGGTGCAGGGCACATGGGGCCCATCTGTTCTGCTGTTGCCTTGTTCTTGCAAACCTGAAACTATTGTGAAAAAGAAGTTTGTTTAAAAAATCAATTAGAGCCATCAGTGGCCCTCTCTTCCTGAGACTCTCAGGAAGCCATCCCTCCTGCCCAAGTGACAGGGTCTGGGGCCAGAGGACAGAGACAGTGGGGATGGGGCCTGAGGAACCAGGGACTCCTCGAGCCAGGGTGTGCAGAGCTGAGGGGCCCCCGCCCTGCTTCTTACAGAAGTAACTGTCCCTCCAGCCTGTCAGTTGGATGACAGGATGTTTTGTATCCACATATCTGCAGTGGAATTTTCTAGAACAAGGTGCCGTGGGAGGAGCTGGGCAGGCCAGCCAACTGCCTCCGAGAAGGTGAGGTTGATGGTGGATCATGGCCAGGGCCACTGTGTGCTCTGCTTAGAGCCAGGAGCAGACTGTGACTCAGGGACATGGGCGCCAGGACGCTGGCTGGACTGCTGCCCGCCTCTTCCTGTGAGGCCAGGCCTGGTCACGTCCTCTCTGCAGCCAATGTCCACAGATGAGGGTTCCCTTGTCAGTAGCTGTGGGCGGCCGGGGACGTTCCGTCGTCTGGTGGCAGAGTGTGTAGGGTGGTGTGTTGCTCACTGCTCTGGTTCAAGTCCACCAGTGGCTTTGGGGAGAAAATGAACAGTCTTCTCCTACTGTGATTTGGGACCTGGGGGATCCAGTGGAGGGTCAGCTCTGAGTCAGAACCGACTGGGCGAGTGGGGTGCAGGGGGTGCCGTGCACCAAGCTGAGCCGTTTGCTCCTGGAGAATGAGCTGAGCGGGTGCCGCTCCAGCCATTTGAGGACGTGGGGTAACATTTTCCCGAGGGTTGGTGTCCACTTTCCCCAGGCGCCCTGTGTGCTTGGCTGAGACCCTCTCTGTTCTTCCTCTGTAAAGACCTGCGGTTCTGGGAGGGAGCCCTGGCAGTGCCGTGGGTAACCCATCCGAGTGCTAACCCAAGGTCAGCCTGGGAGGGACATGACACAGCCAGCCGCTTCTGTAAAGATGACAACCATGGGACCCCAGCGGGGTGGTCTGGAGGGATGTAGACTTGATTGTCCACTTGGTGGTGTGTCCCCACCCGGCATCGTGTCCCCCTCTTGGCAGCGTGTACACCTCTCAGCGGCATATCCCCCACTCAGCTGCTTGTACCCATTTCAGCAGCATGTACCCCTCTCAGCAGTGTGTCCCCCTCAAGTCAGTGTGTCCCCCACCCGATGGCATGTACCCCTCTTTGCAGTGTGTTCCCCTTGGTGGCGTGTACCCCTCGGTGGTGTGTACCCCTCTCAGTGGTGTGTCCCCCTCTGTGGCGTGTCCCCCTCTCGGCAGCGTGTACCCCTCTCGGCAGCGTGTACCCCTCCCGGTGGTGTGTACCCCTCCCGGTGGTGTGTACCACTCGGCAGTGTGTACACATTGTGCCTTGTGATGTTGATCGGCACCCCCTCCACGTGATGGCACTTGTCCTCCTCCCTCCTTGTGATGCTCCTGTCCCTCCACCTGCCCCTCCTCCCTTCCTGCCTCCTGGGCTCTGTCTCTGAGCAGATGCCGCCCTTTGGCTCCTCTGTGGTTCTAAGGACTGCTTCCTCCCTGCTGTTATTGACATCTCAGGGGTCTTGTGTCTCATTTATTGGAAAGTTGACTTGGGGAGTGAGCCCAGTCCTGAACCTGAAGAGTGACTTCCCATAGTTATCAAAGCTGAGCTCAGAAAGCATCAGTTTCAGATGAGTCTCCTCGACTGACCAGGCCCCAGAGGTGCGTTCAGGGCTGCGGGACCAGATGTTGCCCTGGAGCCCTGGGCTCAGCACGAGGTGGGCCTGCTGGTGCTGTCCATGTGAAGGCCGGGACATGCCCCGTTCTTCCTCGGGGGGCACTCTCTGGGGAGTCTCTCCTGGCCTGGGCCCTGTCCTCTGCCTGTGTCCCCACAACGCTGTGAGGCAGTGTGGGCGTCAGCTGCACACACAGTGCTGACCACTGGCAGATGGTGTCCACTGATGGTGACAGGCCGGGCCGTTTGTGACCGCTCAGTGGAATACCTTCCTTAGTGTGGCTGAGGGCTGGAGGAGGGGGAGCAATGAGAAGGGGGGTGAGAGGTGGGAGCAGTGTGTCCAGGACCCCTCTTCTGGGTGCTGGCCGAGGGGGACAGGACACAGGATGGAGAGTGTCTAGTGCCCCAGTGTCTGCTTTCAGTAGAGGTACTGGCCTGGGCATGGTCCTTCAGTGAAGCGGTTGGGACCCTCACCCTACCCACCCACAGGACTGTCCCAGAGGGCTCCCCGCGAGATGGGCGGGGGGCTGTGTGGCCACGTGGTTGGGCCGGTTTCACCAAGGCTGGTGCCGCGTGGAGCAGTGATGGCCGCATGGTTGAGTGGTTGGGGATGGGTCCCCGGAACCTTCCATGAGGAAGGGATAACCCAGAGGAGGTCAAGTGAGTACCTGCTGCTGTGTGTCCGTCCGCCCGTCCATGTGTCCGTTTGTCTTTGCAGTCCTGCAGTTTGTTGGTTGTAATGCCTGGTACCGATTTCTCTTGGCAGAGTATGGTGTCTGTGAGAACCTGCGGAAGCTGGAGATCACAGGCGTGTCCTGCCGTGACGTCTATGCCAAGCGTGAGTCACCCCCTGGTCCCCATCCATGTCTCCCAGGGTCTGACCCATGGTGTCCCCTCTGTCCTGGCCTGTCCATGTCTCCTAGGGGCTGACATGGGGTGTCTCCTCTGTCCTGGCCACCATTCATGCCTCCAAGGTGCTGACCCAGGGTGGTCCCCTCTGTCCTGGCCCCATCCGTGCCTCCCAGGCTGACCTGGGGTGGTCTCCTCTGTCCTGGCCCTGTCCATGCCTCCCGGGGCTGACCTGGGGTGGTCTCCTCTGTCCTGGCTCCTGTCTGTGCCTCCTGGGCTGACCCGCGGTGGTCCCCTCTGTCCTGACCACTGTCCATGGCTCCCGGGCTGACCCGTGGTGGTCTGCTCTGTCCTGGCCACGGTACCTCCTGGGCTGACCCGCAGTGGTGATTTCTCTCCGTTGTTCATCCTCTACAAGGTTGTGACTTAGGACAGCGCATGTCCCCTCCTTCCTTTTCAACGTCTGTCCGTGCCTCCCAGGAGCCGGATCTCCAATCACCATCTCCCCTTGACTTTTCTTGGAGAATGTTTCTCATTTCCCCTTTTTTATCTATTAAGCACATGACTTTTTTGTATTGAGGTGGGACCTCCTGGAGGTGCTGGGTCAGGAGTGGGTTCATCTGAGTTTTGGGGTTGAGGGGTGAGGGCTGGGAATCCAGGTTCCTCTGCTTACACATGATCTGCCACACATGCTCCCTGAGCAGGGCCTGCGCACTCACCTTTGGACCAGCCTGGCTCTCATGTTTTCTTGAACTTTCTCTGTTGGGAGCTCAGGCGAGGTCCTGGTGCAGGGGTGCGAGGCCTTTCCTGTGGGGTTGGGGTGCAGCCAGGCGGAGGGCGGGCCGGCTGCTCACTTGCTGTGGCTCCCTGCACTCTCACTCAGGGTTCCCTGCTGACCACTGGCCCTGACCCAGGGTGAGCTGAGCTCCTGCAGTGGCTGATTTGGGGCTGAGGGTGCTTCCTGGTGGCTCCTCAGAGGGACTTGTCCCCACACTTAACCCCAGTCAGCTTGGGGAGATCCCTGGGTGTTCAGAATTCTGGGCTGGACCCTGGGTCCATCTCACTTGCAATTCTGAGACGCCTCCTCCCGCCCCTCCCCTCAGAGGCCGTCCTGGGGTGTCTACTCTGGATTCCTGCAGGTAGCTAGCATGTGGTCAGACTGTCTTTAGGGCTGGGAGTCCCGACTCTGGGCGAAACAGCCCTCCGGGCACAGAATTCTGAGGGTCTTACTAAGCCTGGAGGCCATACCCTTTGGTGCTGGACCCTGCCCACCCCAGAGAGGGAGGAGGGCAATCCGGAGCATCTTGTGGGTGCCACCTGCCTTGCTCACAGCCCCAACCTCAGCCTTTCAGCCCTGCCCTCGCGCTGTGCGCGTTCCAGGCCCTCACCCAGCCCTGCCCCTCACCCACAAACATGCCCCTTATCCTCAGCATGCCCTTCACCTTGACCCAGGCATGTCCCCTTGCCCTGTGCCCTTTGCCTGCCCCTCCACCTTAACCACGCCTCTCTCACCTTAGCCACCCCCCATAACATGCCCTCCCCCGCCCCTCCTCACTGTAACCACACCCCTTCACCCTGACCACACCCCTCACCTTGGCCCTCTCTCACCTCTGCTGTGCCCCAGAACCCCAGTACATGCCATCTTTCCTGGGGCAGGATCCTAGAAGCTGGAGTCCCGCCATCACAGCATAGGGACCACCTTGTTCCGTCTCCTGTCACCTGGCAGGGAGGTGCAGCTTGTGCCCACAAAGGCCAGAGGCAAGCAGCCCGATGCCCCACCCTGCCGCTCCTCCTGCTACCTCTGGCCTGGTGTCCACATGCCCTGCCCTCTTGAGTCCAGCTCCCTGCTCCACACACACACTGCCCCCTGTGTGCCCAGAGCAGGCCTAGCCCAGACCTGGGCGGTTACCTATTCTATGGGTGTGGAGTCTGCTGCCCAGGAGGTCTACGTGGCTTGCACAAGGCATGTCCAGCTCTCCTTTGATGGGCAGTTGGCTTCCCTGAGTGTCCTTACACCGTGTCTCCTTCTGTAATGGCCTCTGAGGTGGCTGGGCATTTTGGCCTGTGTCCTCGTAAGGGACATGAAAGGCCACTGTCTCTGGAAGAGTGACAGTAACCCCCTGAAGCGAAAATAATCACCATGCTCAACTGCTTACCAGGTCTTCCCAGAGTCACTGGAAGCGAGGCCTGGCAGTCGGCTTCACAGACATCAGCAGTTGGCCACCCCGTGGTGCTGAGAGCCACAGACAGGTGCTCGGGTTCCTGCATGTCTGACAGTAGGGTTGCCCCATGGCCCCGTGGGACACACGTGCAGGAGGACAGCTCCCAGCCAGAACGCGGAATGCAGTGTTGATGGGTGTCTAGGGTGCTGCAGTGGCACCTCCCTGACTCCTGACCCCTGTGGAGTGCTGGCAGAATCCAGGGGACACTTGGCACTGTGTTCTTCAGAGTTGGGTCCCCACTGACCATTGTGAGTTTGGATACCAGTCATCACAGTGTGGTTGCTGTGATTCTCCCCAGGACGCCGCCCACCTCACAGTCTTGGAGCAGGTGGTGGCAGGAAAGCAGCCTGACTCTGGGGAAAGGTGACAATGACCAGAAGCCAGATAAAGACGCTGTCCAAGGCTGACAGTGCTCATGGGGCACCGTGCAGCCTCTGTGCACGGTGTCCCTGAGCTCTTTCAACACTCAGAACCTCACACTCGCCCACAGGGCCCCAGTGGCCATGGCCAGTGGAGCTGGACGTGCGCTGTGAGAGAGCACAGGGGTGGTGTCCAGGTGCTGCCCAAGTGGCCCAGCCATCCTGAGCCTCGGTGCGGATCCTCTGGCTGGAAGCCCCTACGGCTACATCTGTGCCTTTGGAAAAGCATGTGTCCAGTCACTGGGCAGGCTGCTGGCCAGCAGAATCTTGAGCTGACTGAGGAGGTGGAGAAGAGTGGCCAGGCAGAGAACTGGAGCCCTCTCTGCCCTCCCACTGTGTCTGTCCAGGTGTAAACCCTCATGTGCCATGGGGCCACTTCCTCGGGCTCCTCCTCGAGGTATGTACACCTGCTGTATGTATCTCAGTGCTTTGCACGGCATGTGTGCGTGAGAACTGCCGGGCTCCACCTTCATCAAGTGCAGAGATGTGGACATCTGCCAGACGTACCTTGGGACTTCGCACCACATATGTGTGTGGCACAGTGTCGTCACCACAGAGATGTGGACACCTGCCGGATGCACCTTGGGGCTTTACACGACATGTGTGGGTGGGTGTGCCAGTCTCCAGTCTTTCCCAGTCATGCTTGCAGGCCAGAGGCTGCATTAGGTGGGGTTGGCTACAGCTCCAGGCTTTGAGAGGACACTAGTCAAGTCCACTGCAGGTGCACAACGAGGCTGGAGGAGGGCCTGGCCGGTCCTTCCTGTTCTCAAATGCAATTCATACTGTTGTTTCCAAGTTTGCAAACTGAAAACTCCAAATCCTCCGTAGTCAGGTCAACATTGACTCCTGGCCACCTCCCATCAGGTCTCTAAGGCTGAAGGAGGGGGTGGTCCATCCTTCTCCTGAGGTTACTGATTCCTGGCCACCTCTCGTCAGGTGTCAGAGGCTGTGGATGAAGGAGGGGGTGACCCATCCTTCTCCTGATGTGCGGCTGGTGGATCCAAACTGTTGAACTTTCAGCTGGAAGCCCAGCCCGTAACCTACTGTGCTCCTGGGATCCTTGGGTTTTGTTAATCTGTGTGAATTTGTGACAAGCAAGTGTGTACTCACAGCACACTGACATGCATCAGAACCACCATTTAGACCTAGTTCCTCCTCAGTGGTTACAGCTTTCAGGTGCTAACCAAGTTGTCAGTGGTTTGAGCCCACCAGCTACCTTATGGAGGAAGATGAAGCAGCCTTATGGTCTCAGAAGCCAGATGGAGGGTTACCATGCATCCAGTGGACTCAGTGGTTGGCTAAGGGCCTTGGTGGCACAGTGGTTAAAATGTACGGCTGTGAACAGAGAGGCCAGTGGCTGGTGCTGGCTGTGGCCATGGGCCTGGCTGCTTGGGCAGTGCTGCTGTAGCCCTTGTTCTGGGTGTGGATGTATGTCGGAACCAGCTCTGTGCAGCGGGTCCATCTTTGTTGGTTCACTCACATTTGATCATGTTCACCTAAAGCAGTTGTGTGGATGTGGAGGAGCAACTGTGGGCGAGGAGTACCACCTGTGGTACTGTGTGGAGGAGGAAGAGGGGTGACTGTAGATGAAAAGGAGCACCTGTGGATGAGGAGGAGCGCCAGTGGACGAGGAGGAGCGGCGGCGGAGGAGGAGGAGGAGCGATACTGTGGACGAGAGGGAGTGATGGTGGAGGAGGAGGAGCGCCTGTGGACGGGGAGGAGCGACGGTGGACGGGGAGGAGCGATCCTGTGGGGGGAGGAGCGCCGGTGGACGTGGAGGAGCAACGGGGGACGAGGAGGAGCAACGGGGGACGAGGAGGAGCGACGGGGGACGGGGAGGAGCGCCGGTGGATGGGGAGGAGCGCCTTTGGACGTGGAGGAGCGCCGGTGGGTGAGGACCCTCAAGTGCTTCCACAGGCCACAGTCAGGTAGAGAGCGCATTTCCCTCATCCAGGGGCCCACAGATCTCCCTCGGACCCTGCTTGAGGGCCATGTCCCTGGCCATTGGCCTGCAGCTGACCATTCCGTTAGTCCTTGGAAGCTGGCCCCATGTGGATGCAAAAGTGGTCTTTTGGCAGGCCCCAGCTGCCTTCCCCCGTTGTGCGGACCCTCAGGAGGTCCATGGCGGGTCCCGAGGAGGACAAGTTCAGATGTGTAGCCCTCTCTGACAACAACAGTGGAGCTGAGTGTGTCCCTCAACAACAAGGGAGGACAAGGCCTCACATCCACTCTCTCCAAAGTGCTGGGAATTCATCTGGAGGAAGCTTTGTCCTGGATAGCTGATCCCTGGGCAGTGGTTAGTCCACACATGTGGTCAGTCCCCAAGCAGCAGCCACACTTGTCCTGGAGAGCAGTGGCCGGAGTCCACCCTGGGTGACCAGTCCCAAGCAGTGGTCACTGCAGGCAGTGCTTAGTGCTGCTGAATGAACTGACAGCTAGAGTGGAGGGTCTTTACTGCAGGTCCAGGGCAGTTCTCTGCTCCAGAGCAGAGAGTCCCTGGACATCTGGCCCAGGGCTGGGAGGAAGTAGTCTTGCCTGCAGACGTGGGCAGGAGTGTCCTGTGGCTTCTAGGGATCCAGTCTTCCCCCCCTCACTGCGTTTTCAGAGTGGCCAGACCTAGGAATGCTGTTTTCAGTGGCAGTTCCCATCACAGATGAGGGTCCCACCTCACAGCCTCCACACAGGTGGTTTGCTGGTGCTGACATTCCTCACTGTGCTCTGGTGGTCCAGTGGTTCCGTCTGCAGCCTCGGCTGTTCTGTCCGCAGCTCCGGCAGTTCCCTATGCAGCTCCGGGGGTTCCCTGTGCAGCTCCGGGAGTTCTCTCCACAGCCTCGGCTGTTCTGTCTGCAGCTCTGGCGGGTCCCTACACAGCTCCGGCGGTTCCGCCCGTGGCTCCGGGGGTTCCCTCCCAAGCTCTGTCTTCCTGCCTCCTTGTCTTACCATTTCCGTAGTGTCCCTGTTGACTGTCCTCACCCAGATGGGCTGTGTTGGGTTCCGTTGTCCCTGTTGACTGTCCTCACCCAGATGGGCTGTGTTGGGTTCCGTAGCACTTACTATCCTTCCATGGAAAGGTCAGGGCGTCTGCACCCCTCCTGTGATATGCTTGATCCTGAGGTGGTCGTGGCTTTCCAGGAGACCTGCTCACGTCTGACATACCACAGGGCTGCTCTCAGAAGGGCCTGTCTAGTGCGGGTCATCGTGCTCAGAAGAGTGGACATCAGTGAGAAAGGAAGACCCTCTGCATGACCGGTGGCCATGCTGCCTGCAGCAGTGGGCTCTGGCACAGGGAAGGTGGTGGCCATAGCGCAGGGTCGCTGCATGAAGGGGGTGTGATGCCTCCTCACAGTGAGATTGTAGGTGTGAAAATACGGTGGCCACTGGAGAAGCCTGGAAAAGCCAGATGACAGCCAGGTGGGCAGTGGTCAGCACAGGCTGCCTCTCTTGGTGGATGCACTGGACCACAGCTGCACCTCCTTCCCACACTGCTGAACCAGCAGGAAGGGCCTTTGGATACCCAGGAGAAGAACAGCTCCTGCCGCCCTGTGTTGGCACAGTGGTGGCTCCAGGCTCACTCGTGGGACCTGCTGGACACTGCAGCCTCAGTGTGCGTGCTGACTCAGCGGGCCTGCCCAGTGTCCCATTGTCAAGTGTGTCCTGGCCTGGAGCTCGGTGGTCAGTGGGGGCCTCTCAGTCCTGCTGTGGGCAGTGTGTCCTGGCCTCGAGCTTGGTGGTCAGTGTTCAGAAGGCCACTCAGTCCTGCTGTGGGCAGCGTGTCCTGGCCTGGAACTCAGTGGAGGCTTCTCAGTCCTGCTGTGGGCAGCGTGTCCTGGCCTGGAGCTCGGCGGTCAGTGATATTTAGGGCCTGGTATAGAGGTCTCACCACGTTGGGGCAGGAGGGGCTCATCATGGGGGAGTGTGGAGACAGGAGGCACTCGGGAAGGGTCAGGTGGACAGCGGTGCCCAGCAAAGATGCACTCGGGGTATCAGGAGAGGCAGAGACTCCCTGGCTCAGCCATCCCCACCTGGAGGGTTTGTGGGCGGAGTCTCTTGGTTGTACCCAGTGACTGGAGCTCTGGTGCGTTTTGGTGACCCACAAACCTGTCTTCTACATTGTGCAGATGGATGGTGACATACAGTCCTCTTCTCTGGCCATGGAGTGACCCTATGTGGGCAGAGCAGAACTGCTGGCCACCAAGTTCAGTGGGAGCTCTGTCTGCAGGCCTTCTCCTAGGCCCCTGAGGTGGACGTGACCCTCCAACCTTCTCTTGGTAGCCGAGTTCTAAGCTGTGTGGACCCCAGGGATTTCCTCAGAAATGAGGTGTCCACCCCTGGACTGTTGAATGCACTCCAGATTCTGCTGGTCAGCCCTGTGGTCTGCAGAGTAGGGTCCCCACGTGGAAGCCAGGTTCCTGACCCCCTCCTGGCCCCAGGTCATACTCTGGGGGTGGCCATGGCCCTTGGGGCTGACATCAACGTTGTCCGAGCTCTGAGGGCTGGAGTGGTGAGGTCCACGCTCAGATGTGCAGCTGCATTTCACTACGTGCGGCACACCCCTCCCCCATTACTACTGCATGCATTTGAGCGGTGATCCGGAAGCCGTGTCCTGGTCAGACCTTGTGGCCAGTGGTCTGGCTCCTGGTACCTTGTGTCTTGGCACTGGACAAAGTTCAGAGGGAAGGCTGGTGCTCTGCCTCTTGGTCCTGAGCTGGGACGCAGCGTGCATCCCCTGGGGCCTGCCGGAGCCTGGAGACACACTTTCACCCCTCATTCTCTTCTGCTGGGGCTTGGCCTGCTGGTCACCGTGGATTTTAATGGGTTGTTACCTGGGGCCCTGGCTCATCTCTGAGCCCATGTGAGGCACCAGCCATCCATTGCAGCTCACAGCAGCCCTGCACAGAGCAGGACCACCCCCAGCCTGGTCCCGAGCCTCCCGCACAGCCCCTGCTGTCTATGAGTCCATACAGCCACTGGTCGGTGTGTGGGCCTCTCCCTCACTGACCTGCCTTACCGCCATGGTGCTTTAAGAGGCTGTAGGTGGCATCTGCTCCCGTTGGCTTGCTGCTGTCGCCTCAGAGCTGACCCTCCAGCAGGTTTTCAGAGGCAGAATCACACTGTGGGGTGGCTGCCCACCCTTCTCCCCCGAAGCACAGCTGTCAGAGGCCAGTTGTGCGTGTGCCCCGTGGTTGGTGTCTTGTGGGTGAGGCTGCCTCTGAGCAGACGTGGATGCGGCTGTCACCCACGTCTTCTCCCCGTGCACATACCGGCCCCAGCGTGACCGCCCCCTTCCTCCCCACAGTGCTCCACCGGTACCGACACATCCTGGGGCTCTGGCAGCCGGACATCGGGCCCTATGGGGGGCTGCTGAACGTGGTGGTGAGTGCCGGGGCCCCGCCCCTCCTCTGACCTCTCCACGAAGCAAATTCTAAGGCCTGGTGCTCTTCTGCTCTCCTGAACGGTGGTCTCTGTGGGTGACCTGGAGTTTCCCAGAGCAGCCACGGTCCCGCCATACCATCTGGTGTCCGCTGGGTCAGGGCAGCCTCAGTCCCTTCTTGCCATCCAGTGCCCGCTAGCTCGGCCCGAGTGTGGCCTCCGTACTGTCCAGTGCCTGCTGGCTCAGGGCCCAGACTGGCCGCAGTGGCTCACCTACAGCCTGGATCCGAAGACGACCCTCCCACCGTGGACACTAGTTTTTCTCCTCTCCCTGCTGAGATAGCCTTGGGGTCCTGTGGTGTCCCAGTTCTAGAGTTTCCCCCGCTTCCTTCCTGCCCCCTGGCTTGCTCCTCGACCCCTTCCTCCTGAGGTGCCCTCTGGAAGGTATGCTCAGTCAGCTTCTGTGTGTCCAATCACCGCCCACACTGGGGCTGCCCGCACGTCCTAACACGCCAGGCAGGGGTGGGCGTAGTGTGTGAGAGGAGGCCGCGAGCCCCACGTCTTCTGCTTGTGCAGGTGGATGGCTTGTTCATCATCGGGTGGATGTACCTGCCTCCCCACGACCCGCACGTGGACGACCCCATGAGGTTCAAGCCTCTGTTCAGAATCCACCTCATGGAGAGAAAGTCGGCCACTGTCGAGTGTATGTATGGTCACAAGGGGCCTCATCACGGCCACATCCAGGTGAGGGCCGGGCCCCAGGCGGGGGGCACCTCGGCCCTATCATGCAAGGGCTGGACCCTGGACATGGGCACCTGCATGTCAGGGCTGGGACCTGGACACTGGGGGGGCACATGGAAGTGAGCTGGCTCCCCTCTGCCCTGCGCTGTGGGCACCTGTCAGAGGCTGGCCTCAGCTGTTCACTGTGCCCGAGGTGGCTAGCTGCAGGCCGTGTCCTGTCTGCCAGCACTGGGTCTGTGCCGCTTCTCCGTGTGAGAATAGCAGGGTCGGCCGTGTGCCGTGTGCTATGAGCAGTGTCCCTTATCACTGCGTGAGGAGGTGTCACGGACGGGGGGAGGAGTTGGTCCTGGTGTCCATGTGTGCTTTCCTGGGCTGCCTCTTCCCTGTGCTCTGGTCAGTTGGGGTTGGGGGGGGTCAGTCTGGTGCTGAGCCTGTGACTGACCGGTCCCTTTCTCTCCTGCCCTGCACACGAAGATTGTCAAGAAGGATGAGTTCTCCACAAAGTGCAACCAGACAGACCACCACCGGATGTCCGGGGGCAGACAGGAGGTGAGGGCACACTGCCGCAGGCCTGGCCCGCCTGGCCTCCCAGGTGGAGGTGGACGTGGTGAACTGGGCCACAGGCCGTCGCCGTGAGCCAGTGTCCCGTACAGTCCAGCAGGGCTGTCCGCTCTTCCGACTCCGGTTGGTGAATTTGTCGAGCACGGCTTTCTGCTCAGTCTTCCTGAGGCTGGTTACAGTCCCCACACCAGCGGCACTCCGCCTGCTCGCTCCCGGGCTTTCCTGTTTCCTGGACAGTGAGGACGTGTTCTGTGGCCTTGCTGTGTTCCCAGCCCCCTTTCCCTGGTGGGTGCACCATTGCCCATTAGGCTGTTCAGGAATACACACACCCGGGAATAAATGCCAGGGCCCTCGGAGTGGGTGGTGTGCCTGGTGCTGTCCCGTTTCCCACGCAGCGGTCATCTCTCTGGGTGTTGTCTGCTTCCTGTCTCAGGCCTTGCTTTCATCATCTGATCGTTTCATTCCTGTGCTGAGTTGTGTTTCCTTTTTCAGTAAGGGGGTTTAGTGAGAAGGTACTTGTAGGCAGGGAGTGTAGACTGCTAGTGTAGACCAAGTTGGCAACTCAGGGCACAGGGACTGGTGAGGCCTGGACTGGTTGTAGGGACCACCGCCCGACACCTACCTTCCCATGCACCTGCAGACCCTTGTGGTCTGGGCTGGCCTCCGATGTGCAGGGTGGACGCACGGTGGGCCCAGCGCTTGGGTTCTCCGAATGGGCGACCCAGGGCCTGATGGGCATCCTCCTCTAACAGGAGTTCCGGACGTGGCTGCGGGAGGAGTGGGGCCGGACGCTGGAGGACATCTTCCACGAGCACATGCAGGAGCTGATCCTGATGAAGTTCATCTACACCAGCCAGTACGAGTGAGTGCTCAGGGCCGGAGGGGACAGGGGCCCATCTGATGAGGCTCATCTACACCAGCCAGTACGAGTGAGT